ATTTTCCTAAACATTTTCTCTCAACTGATGTAAAACTAATGAGTCTATAATTACTGGGACAATTTTTATCATCTCCATTGAAAAGTGAAGTTACATTAGTTAACTTTCAATCCTTTGGTACTTGCCTACTATTCAAGGACTGACAAAAAATAGTAGTAAGTGGCTCACATACCCAATCTTTAATCTCCTTCAAAACCCTTGGGGAAATATTATCTGGCCCAGGAGCCTTATCATATTTTAAACTTCCCAATTGTTTCTTATCCAGTTCAGAATTAATACAGTTCTCTCATTTACATTTATCAACTCTTCAAGATGTGAATACTGCTTAATCTTCATTAGTAAAAACTGAAGAAGAAGTAAAATTTAATAACCTTGCCATCTCATTATCATCAAATGCTAGCCTTCCTTTATCATCTCTCAAGGGTCCTACCCCCCTCCTAACATTTTGTTTATCTTTAATGTATTTGAAGAAATCCTTCCTGTTAATTTTTACATTTTCAGCCAACCATTTCTTATATGTTCTTTTTGATGTCCTAATTTTCTGTTTCACCAACTTTCTTGATTTTTTTATAATCTTCTAAATATCTTGACATACCAGTCAATTTAAATTTCTTAAATTTATGATTCTTTTCTTTAATTGTATCTCGTAAACTCTTTGTGAACCAACCTGGTTTTCTACTTGCAGCTACCATTTCCTTTCTATAAGGAATATGTTTACCTTGAATATTTAGAAATTTTCCACATCTGATCAGTGTGTCCAAATAACTCAGCTGCCCAATTCACAACAGATAATTCTTATCACATCCCTTCAGAATTTGCTTTTTTTAAATTTGTAACCAAAATAGCATTATTCCTTATTTCTGTATACAGCAAAACATCAAACCCACTTGCACCCTCAATTTCCACTCTCTCGATCATTTCTGTATTTGAAGTTAACAATAAATCTAAAATAGCATTGTTTCTAGTAGGTTCCTTGACTAATTGGTGAAGAAAGCCATTCTGAACAGTTCTCCCTCATGGTTTGACTGTATAATTTCCTAATCTATGCCTGAAATTAAAATCACCCATAATAATTTTGACTTCATTAACAGCTAAAATCTTAATCTCATTGTAAAGTTTCTTACTAATTTCATCAGTATCATTTGGTGGTCTGTAACAAATTCCCACTAAAAGCCTTTTCCTTTTATATCCACTAATATAAACCTAAATGAATTCAATTTCCTTGTATTATCTTTGATATTATCAACTTCAACAGGATGTAACTTGCATTTTACAAATAAAGCCACTCATCTCCCCTCTTTAATACTCTATCCCTGTTAAATAACCTGTAACCCCGTATTTCAAAGAAATTTCTGTCATCAAAATCATCTACATTAAACCATGTTTCAGTTATTCCCATTATACCAAACTCCTCCATTCCTACCAGTTGTCTAAGGTCATGTATTTTATTTCTTATACTTCTAGAATTACAATAGTAACAATTAAGCTTATCCTTATAACTATTTCTATATTAATTTCCCATGCTATATTTTCTCTACCTCTTATTCTTTTTGCATTCAGTTTTTCCTGGCCCTCACCACTGTCTTGTCCTAGTATAAAACTTCCCTTACAGCTGAGTTAATAGCCTTAGCAAACAAGCTAGCCCCTACCCTATTTAAATGTAAACCATCCATTCCAAAAAGCTCACTTCTTCCACTGAACTGATCGTACAAGTCCAATCAGCCAAACTGCTCATCCTTACATACTAACCTAAGCCTAGCATTTAGCCCTAGTGACCTACTTATAACTTCATCCCAACAGTTCATTCTGGGCAGTATCCCTAATACAATTAAGTTATGGCCTTTTTCTTTAAATGCCTTTATCAGCCTCTTGCACATATTAATTAGTTCCTCTGACCTACCTTTCCCTATATCATTAGCCCCTACATGCACCACAAAAACTGCATCTCTGTTAGCCCCCTTTATTATATCTCCTGCACTCTCAGTTATATTACAGACATAAAGATTTAAGTTTATAAAATGCACAGTAGGTTGAAGAATTAAAGTATAAATTAGGACAGATTCATTTATAAGATAATTAGTAAAGCATTGAAATTGGTATAGAAATTGATCTTGCTGGCATAAAATTGATTTAAAAGATATTGACTTTTAAAATTTCAACTAAAGTAGATATATTATAAAACAGAGAGCTACAACAACATTTTCCTTATTGAGTGTAATATTGATTTTTACTTAGATCTAATCCAAATGAACATAGATCATAAGTTAAAGATATGGTTAGCACTTTTACTAGTATGAATATTATGTTGAATTTGTGCTTACTTTAAATGTGTAGGATTAAATCCTGTAAGGATCCAAGTTGTGATGTTGTTACACAAAAAACATAGCAACAGTCAGTTAGTGGAAAATTTTATTTGCCTCATTATTTTTTGGTGCTTAACTTGTTTGCTGTTCTTAGGAGATAAAAAGAGATCTCTGCAAAAAAGGCAAAGATTTTTGTTAAGAGGAACTGGATTGGCTGATTCTAGTAAGAGTACCTGGAGGGATTTCAAGATAATTTTAAAATAATCCCAGATGTGATGACAATTATCATGGAAATATTAAGGAAGTGAGAGCAGAGAATGGTAAGTAATAGTATTTTCTTCTATAGATACAACTTTTCAGGTAAGAAGAATATTTTAAGAAAATGCTATGAATAAAATACGTTGTTTTGTTTTACAAAAGCTTAGAGGTAAACTAATACCATTTTCAGTGTATATGTTGACTCTTTGGCTTTGAAAATAGCAAATTGTAGTTTTTTTAAATGGTTATTGTATTTCTTCTCTAATGATCAAGATATTTTAGTATTGCTATGAAAGTCTGTATCTGAATTATATTTCTCCAGAATGTTACAAGGTATTTTGATGAAATTGTATAAAATTTTTCAGATTTATTTATTGATTCCAGTATTGTGCTTGCTTGTTTGTTATGGCTTATAAAACACATTACTTTTTGTAACATTTAGATATGTTGTTATTAATTTTAAATGTATATTTTAAGAATATATTGTAAAGCAAGATTTCTTCTATGTAACTGTAGGAATGATACCAGATATATCAGTGTTACTTTACACACACAAAAAAGATAACTTGATTACTATAATAGAGGGCAATAGAAAAAAGTGAAAAGTCTGTTTGTTGTTAAACATAAAGCTACACAATGGGCTGTCTGTGCTGTGCCCACCACAGGTATTGAAACTCAGTTTTTAGAGTTATAAGACTTCATACTGAGCCACAAAGTAAAAAGAGAACTAAATTTAAAAGAATACAAAGTAATACAAACTGTTGAAAAGATCTAGATTGACAGGAAATACATAGTAAAAAAAAGAACTCGAGAAGAGAAGTAAACTGACAAAAGTACAGGAGAATCAAATTTGTTGGAAAGATCTAGATTGAAAATAAAAAATAATGATAAAAAAGTTTTAAAGTAGGACTAGGAACACCTAGTGTTGTCAATGTAGTTGTTATAAAAATTATTATGTATTACAGAACCTAAGAACACCTAGTTATATTATTCATTACAAAACCTAAGAATATATAGTGAAAGTATCACTTTGCTATACATATTATTTATTTTTGGTTTTAACAGTGATATCACAATATCATCAATTTAGAACCTAAGAACACTTAGTGGAAGTATCACTGTGTTTTATATATATATATATATATATATATATCAGTGTAGTTTTAATAGTGATACCTTCCATTACAGAACCTAGGAACATGTGGTAAAGGTATTACTATGTTATACATATTATTCAGTTTAGTTTTAACAGGATACCATCCATTACAGAAGCAAGAAACACCAAGTAAAAATATCACTATGTTATACATATATTAGTGTATTTTGAACATGATATCATCCATTACAGAACTTGGAAATACACAAAGTTGAGTATGTTATATTTAAACAATTTTGAATATGCAATTCAGCAAGTCACATGATGATCATGGCTGATATGAAACTGCAGAGGAACATCATGTATCATAAATACATTTTGACATTGTTTGGCATTTCATAGTTAGTGATCACTTTTGGGAAGAGCATGTAACAACCCTTTCCAATGCAAAATATTCATACACTCAGATCATAAAGATGTGTTCATATTGGGGATTTACCATTTCCAAGATGGGGATATCCCTTGTACTTATTTGAAGGCATTGAAAAACATTGAAATATAGCTAAACTTGGTGTATCAGAACCATCTAGAAACAGACCTGTAATGTGTGAGAATTCATGAACTCAAAGATTAGTGGCAGAAACTATTCATGTGTTCCAGGCAACAGTATACAACATAATCAAGAAGAAATTACTTGGAAGAGCAACACAACACATGTCTATACAAGTTGCATTCACAACATATTTGCTCAACCCATTGCATATGTCAAGCAGTTGGAAGATGAAACGGGTATTCGTGCTATTCCATATAAAAAACATACCAGAGTCACTTGACACATTGGCTATGGATTTCTTTGCATTTTGCCTGTTGAAACAGGCTCTGAGAAACCATCATTGTAAACTAGATGGAATATAGAAGGCACACAGCAAGGAGATGTGTTGCTTTGAACATGGCAGCCTTAAGGAATGTAAACTACATTGTTGGGCATTGTTAAGATGCACAGTCTTCAGATGAACTGTTTTAATATAACATACTCAACCTCTGCACATACTAATAGAATTTGGCCTGTTACAACATTAATCATTATAATGTTTACCTCATGAGTTTGAATATTACCAACATAATTTTTAACAGTCAAGTGTTGTAGTTAGAGCAAGAAACCATTCATTGAAGATGATTGTTTAGTCAAGTTAGGATATTTAACCGAAATAGCCAACTTAGAGAAAACTTGTTTATAGCCTTTTTGTTTTAGTTTTACAAATGGAAATAGTTCATAAAGAAAGTTATTTTCGTTTAATGTAATTCATATGATTTTAGCAGTAACTCATGAGACGAATTTTAAGATTGTTAGGTTAAACTTCCAGGAATTGAAAATAAAAGTTTTCTAGAGCACATATGCAAAACATTACATATTCACAAATGTGTAATTGTTTGCATTGTTTATAGACAGTAAACAAATTTTGACTTATTTAAAATTGACAGTTTTTATCTGTAGTGTACTTGTAGTTCCAGCTTTTACATTTGAAAAATCTAATCTTGTTAAACCTTATATTTTGAAGCTGGTTAATTTAAAATTAATTCCTTTAAATTGTATAAATCATGGATTATATAAGCAGTAGTAGCATCACAACAAATTGATAGATTCTTTGCATTTAACAGTAGAAACACTGACTCATTAAATATAAGATACTTTTTTAATTTCCTTTCTTTATGGTTAACAATTCTAAATGTTTTTACATATTTTTGGTAGTAAGGATTTAAAATAATGAATTTCTTTCCTTAATCTCAAGGAGAATCCCTTTTTTTAAGTGTTGCCAATTTCCATTTAACTTTTAATATTTCATTATTATATAAATATATTTTTGTATCTTTTGTTGTTGTTAAAGAGGGATGATGGCTAATATGGTTATAATCTTAATGCATAAGACAACCCATCATAATGGAGGATATATTTAAATATAACTGACTCATAACAGATGAAGAAGTAAAATATTAATATACCACAGCAGAGGAAATATTAAATGATAAAACATAAGTGCTACATAGCTTGGAATATGTTAAAACATGATTGCTACATTGCTTAGAATATGTTAAAACATGATTTCTTCATGGCAGTGGAGGTGTTGAAACACAAATAAGCCAGAGCAGAGAAGGCATTCAAACATGAACATTTATTTGTACAAAGAATGAGAAGTTTTTTTTATAGAGTTTTGTGGGTTTGTACCAGATATAAAGAAACTGAGAATCTGTGAGCAATATAATAATAATAACACACTATATACAGTCATCAGTTTCATTAATTGTCATCCTGGTTCATAATCTTTGTGAATTACATTTTGATACCAGTTTCTATAGTCTCATACAGGCATGAGAGTTTGAAAGGTTTTGTCATGTGTAGAGAATCTACTGCAATCAACTACTTCCATGCAAGTACTTCTTTGAACCCATACGGCCTTCTAGTATCTAGTGTTCTGGTTGGCCCCAGACCCTTACTTTTGTGTGCCTGAAACAAGCATTCACACAATTTCAAAGTTGTTTTTTTATTTTTGGTTAATATTACTCTTTGTAAATAATAAAAAAAACATTTGAATTATCTTTGTCCATTGAAACTCAGTCATGATGTTATAGCTTTCATGATGAGTGTATTTCTCTCATAAGATACTGTGTGAAACATATGTGATCAACCAAGATATATAAATTATGTTGATTATTTATCTGTTGTTGCTTATTAAACATTTTGGACTTTGAATGTTGAAAAATAAAACAACTAATTGAGAGGTGCCTATGCTTAAATTGATAGGTCTAAAGTTGGCTCCCCACCTCTCATTTGTTTGAATATTTAATATTTTAGTGTTTTAACTTTCTGTTTTCATCATCATTGTAGAAAAAATATAACTAAACACACAAACTTATGAAAGTTAATGTTTCTATTAGTCAGTAAAAGGTTAACAACTGAATCATAAGACTCTTAGTTTCAAGTCTCTCTCTTGAAACAGTAGAGCAAGTTACCTACTCAAAGCTATTAAAGTAGTTTATATGTTTAAGAGAGATTCTTTGACTATTTTAAATTGAAAAACTAATACACACAATGGCACTCTATTTTGATTTTTCCATAACTGAACATGACCAAAATTTTAAAACAAAATTTATACAGAACCCAAGATGTGAGTTTTTGAATATTTGTCATTGTCAGCTGTTACAACTTGAGTTTCTTCATTTATTACTGGTCATAATTATGTTTGTGACTTGCATATTAGCCAATTTTTGGTGAAATTCAACAAAAGAAACTTTCGAAGTTTCTTCTTTACACTGTATTTTCTTTTGTTAACTTTCCCCATGAAGTGGTGAATAAAACTGAAGTGCTAAATTTAACTTGAAATCTGAATAGTCTTGAAACTCTTATTTCTAGTTGAAGGAGTATCAAGACGTATATGTGTGTGTGTGTGAGTGTGTACATCTAAAACCAGTATGTTACCTTCTATTCCATATAAAGCTTCGTTGGTTGATAGTTTGTTAAGTAGGCTGTTAAGAGCTGATGTATCTCAAAACTGTAGTTATAAACTGACCATGGTATGGGTTTTGTTACCTAGTGAGAACCGATTTGTTTTCATTTTACATGTCTATGTATTTATTACAAATCTGTATCAGTCTGGTTTTTAGGATATTACATTTCAGAATATTTTTATACTTACAGGTTTGTTGGAGTTTCATGCATTTTAATATAGGTTCAACAATATTTATTAATAACAAAAAAAATTTCCTCAGTTTGTCTGTTTTTCTAAGGATGTTTGAATAATATTTTTAGGGCTCTCTGTTATTGTCATTCCACTAGGTGAGAAATTCTGAGACAAAGGAGTCGAACCAAGTAACTTGAAGTTTCTGTGGTATATCGTACAAGTACCAGAACAGATTTAATGGAACTAACTAATATTTCAGAAGAAGAAACAAGAGTTTCCAGATAATATT